TGATAATTCTTCTATTTGCAATAAACTGCTCTACAAGTAGTCTAAAAAGCTCGTTGAATTAGTTAATAGTGCACCTCGGGAGGGAGCAGAACTATGTGTGAGTTTGACCCTTGAGAGTTGCAGGGAACACTTGACAGAGAAGCACATCAGAGGCACAATGAATGTGCATAATAGTTCGATAGTGGTCGAGATATTTGTATGGGTCAGTTACCCCTTCTTAGTCATCAATATTTAGAAGTTTGAAACCTGTTGGGATAGGGTGTAGGAGAATCACGTCAGCCAAAGGAGAGGATTCTTGGAAGTTGCAGCGAGCAGGGAAGCGATCTCTTTTATCAAAGAGGAACTCTTTCCAAATCAGGCGTCGTAGCTCATTACAGATGATATCAATAGAAACAATAGTAAGGCAAGGAGATTTCAGGTGAGCAACATGAGAAGGATAAGTGGAACTTGTAATGTCGAGGAGATCGGGGTCCAGTCTTGACAAGGGAATGGTTTCATCACTGAGAGAGAATTTGATGAGTGGGTATTTCTTATTGAATGCTGAATTGGTGGTAAGTAAGCTACATTGGTTTGTAGTTGTCGCTCCCCTCATAGGAGTTGTAGAATCTTTGGTTGAGATGTCTCCATCTTGCATACTCAGTCATCCATAAAAGTACCCGAGGCACCTTTGCTAGTGAGAAGATGCCTTTCAGAGTTGGAGGATCTAGATGTCTGACGTCTTGGGCTTCGTGACTTCCTTCTGGAATTATGGATGTTGGAGCGAGATGCTCCACTGTTGTCAGTGTTGTGCGTGATTTCTATGCAGCAAGTCTCGCAAGTACTTTATTGATGGCAATGCTTTGTTTCCCACATATGGTGTCATGCAACAAGTCTTGACATTGCACAAAAATTCAACACACACTCGAATGAAAGAAAAACAACCAGTAGAGGCACCAAAATTTTTTACATGGAATACCTGTAAAGGGAAAAACCATAGCGTTTAAGCCAGCTAAAGAGATCCACGATAAAAAGAAGATTACAAGTACTGTCCCTTGCATCACAGACAGGAAAGAGTTACAAAACCCTTTGAATTACAACTTCAATGTGAAGAAAAACTTGTTGCAGGGATTGTGAGACGACCAATGCTGATGGACGATGAATGATGAGTGGTTGTTGACGGTGTTCGATGGTGATCAACAGCGACATGAGTGATGTTAGACTTCAAGTCATTCTCAAAGCTAAGCTCTTCCTCAAGCCTCAAGCTCCCCTTCCTCCATGAGAGGGAAGGGGCTCTATTTATAGAGTCCCAACTGCAATAAATGAGAGAATTTGAACCACTCTAATTAGATCGTCCAGAGAAGTTTTCTTGATCAGACGACATTAAATTGACATTTGAGTGCCTTAAAATTATCAGAATTGAGCTATCTTGAGCTCGTTGGATTCGTCTCGCTCGATTCGATTATGAACACACCATATTAGACATCTGTTTGGTCTTACAAATTTTGCTGAAAAACTTCTAAACACGGTTTAATGTTATGATCAGGGCTTGAATTGTTTTGGATATGATCAATGTTGATATAATTGAGTCCGCCTCGTCGAGTTGATCAGTTTGATTGTAAGTTTGTTGAAATAGAAGTTATGGTTAACTTTTAATTGAAGTTAGAACATTTCTCACTAAAATAATTGCCTCGAGATCCGACAAATGCATCGAGATTTGAGCCGAATGAAGGAATTTGTTGATGGCGTATCACAACTATTAATATATATGACTCATTTTGTACACAAAATTTTTACAAATAAGACTAAGTTCCTTAAGTTTGCCATTTAATTTTTTTCAATTTATGTTATACCAGTAGTCATTTTAAAAAAATATTTTTCAACCACATTTTTGAATCACATCTATAAATGATCATGTTTTTATTTACTCAATTTTAAATTTAAACTTTGAGCTTAACATGATACCCAGAGCGGATCGATCCTGTTTTTTTAGGGGGGCATTTGCCCCCATATATCTAACTTGGGCGGGATTATGGTAACAAAATACAAAATGATATTTTAGGAAGAACAAAACTGATATTTTAGGAGGGATAAAAAGCCAAATTAGCCTACCATATAAGTATAAATCTAAATTTGAGGTGAGGCAATTGCTCTTCCGACAATTTCTAGATTCACCCTTGCATGAAACTTTACCAAAAATAAAAAAAAATAAAAAAAAAACTAATAAAAATTTCATATATCTATTAATACTCTTAGGTATTATATAAGTATAAAGTATCCCTTCTTCATTTCATCTCAAATTTAAACTAATATATATATAAAAAAAAAAATTTGGTCACCATCTACGTTAGTTGACCAATTTGGTGACCAATTTGGAAGCTATTTTAACCATTAAAGTTTATGTTACACCAACGATATCGATCCCACACATTAAACAATATACACTAAAATTTTATCAAACTTTTTGCAGATCAGCTTGTTTATACATTACTCCCTTGTCAAAAAAAATATTTACATCAAAATCGCAGGGAAAGAATCAGAAAAAAGAGAAAATATTACATGTTGCACGTCCGTCCAAATATAGTCATGCCACCATATATCAATCACACAGCCATTTATGTCTTTGAAAACTTTCGATTTATTTTTATACAGTAAGAATGTTTTCGTAATTACATACCTGCCGCCGCCGCGGTAACAGTATAGTCGTGCTGTCTTTGCCAGTTAAACCGGAAGGGAATAAGTGGGCTTAGGCGAGAGCACCCAATGTTCCCCGTGCGGCCGGACTTTAAGATTCTTAACCCTCGCAAACAGCGTAACGGCGCGGCGGACACCATGATTGTCCGCCGCGGTGTAATAATCATGCCCAAACAGAACGCCGCCAGGTCTCAGCACCGCATACGCCATGTTGATATCGGACCACGCGGAGTGAAAGTCATGGCCGGCATCCACCTCTATTAGGTCCCCGTAAATACCCCATTCACAGAGAGCGGCAAGAGCCGAACTGGTGGAGAATGGGATGGGGAGGATGCGGTGGGCCTCGCCGGCGGCGGAGACGCCGAGCATGAACTGGTGGAGGAGAAGGGAGTCGGCATGGCGGGGGACGGGTACGTGGCGAGCGAAGCGGGGGGGGGAAGCCGGCCCGCCGCGGGA